TATATATATATATATGTATGTGTATATATATATATATATATATATATATATATATATATACACATACTGTATGTATATATATATGTATTTACATGTGCATATAAACATGTAAATACACATACATAAGTGTCTGGGGTACTGCAGATTTACAAAGCTCTATTTTTACTGTACGGGGAGGAGTTGAACAGTCTGATGGCTTGATGGACTAAGGATTTCCTGAATCTTTCCAGGGAGCAGACCTGGGACAGCAGTCAAAGACCTTTCCTTGAAGGAACTAATGTCACTTATTTACCAATAAGGCAAATTTAAAGCAAAGAACAAAATATAAATAAAAATTTAAATTTAACTTCTTCTCACCAGCCATGATCTTTAGCATTTAGCTTTTTTTAAACTAATAGAACTAATAGAACTCTTGTCTCATCTGATACCCGACCCCGTCATTCGCTTCTCTAATAACAGCCCAGACTCAAAATCTACACGCTGGATTCTTTAATTTGATCCTAAACTGCTCAGCCTCTAGAAGCTCAAGTTCAGTCAAAGTAAACTCTGCAAACAGCGTCGTCTGGCACTATTTTGTAAAAAAAAAATAGATTAAGTGTTATATTTCTCCTTCAGCGCACATGAAGAAAGTAGGTCTGTATTTGTATCAATATAATGAGTCAATGCTGTTGTATTAGATGATCGAATACACATTAATGACACTCAGGCAGTTTCATCTGCTGACCTGCCTCTCCTGGGAGCTCAATGCAATTATTTACCCAGAAAAAAAAAGATAGAGCAAAGTGTGTACAGCACAGAGAAAAAGAACGTCTGGTTTGTTCAACGTAATTTCACTTCTAACCAGACATTCCTACCAGGGGTGGAAAATGCAATGCAGATGCTTTTTCACACGGACATGAAAAGTTTTGATTTGAAACAGAGCGACTGATCGTTTACCTGCATGTGTCGTAATTATCACCAACGAGCAAAAACAGTCAAGTCTCGTCAGCTAGTGGAGCTTCATATGGATGTGCTGCATGTTTTTACCAAGCTGCACTCGCTGGGGGGTTTTCTTTACATGAAAGCTCTAAAAGTGGCAAATAGTCTTCTTGTTTTATTTTTATTTTTCAAAAGTTTGTTAACCAGACAGTCAGAAAGACATAAAGTGGAGCAGTGCATACATTAATTTATTAAATAATTTCATTTTTGCAGCTGATGTCCTCTAGTTTCACCCACACCTTTATTCTCCGTGTACACCTAACTGCCAACACTTCCCATGGATCATGAGTTGTTTTTATCCAAAGGGTCAAAATAATCCTCATGAGAGAAACTGTCTGTTTTCTGAACAGGTCCCTCTCTGGTGGGGGCTTTAAAGAAGGACTGGGCGTCTCCGACCAGCATCGCCCTGTCCTGGCAGCAGCCTGAAGAAACCACACTTCCTGTCCTCGAATATGAGGTCAAATATTATGAGAAGGTAAATTAATGCACCGCACATGACTATAATGGCATCTGGTGTCTATTTATAAAAGATATTTTAAGAGTATTTTTAATGTTTATGCTGAATTGCAACTGTTTGTACACCTTTACCTTAAAATGTTTCTTTCTGCTTATATCCTGATGCATGCTCAAGATCTTTCTGCTTATGTTAAATCAAGTAAAAGATTAAGTTGCTTCCAGATGACACTAACATTAATTAAAGATAAAATGTTTCTCTCAGTATATCTAAAAGAAAATCATAAATTAAGCTTGTTTTGAAGTAAAGGGGCGATCTGCATAATAATAGACACCAAAACAAATTTGTACTAAAACATGCATTTCAGTTTTGTCTGTTTTTCTTTAATTTTGTATAAGCATGCTTTTATAAATATCACTAGAAAGCTGTTAAGTGCAAATAGAACTGTACAAAATGTTTATTTCTATTTTGACCCATTAATCAGCTGATGAGATTTGCCTAGCAAATGCTCAGCATTTTGAAAATTTAAAAGTTTATAAAACATTTCAAAGTATTTTTTTTTCTGCTTTTTGCATTGGTTTACAGTGAAACTGACGAGGAAAAACAGGCGTTTTATCAAAAGTACCTTTAAGGAAGTATAAATAGTTCATCCATCTGCATGACAGCTTCATATTTAAGGTGGTACCTTACTGGGTCACGACTGCCGGAAACTAATTGAACAAGTCCTGTGAACTGGTGGAAACAAATACAAAATAATCCTTTAGGACACAAAGAAGTCAACATAGTATATTTAATTTTGTTGTATTTGCAGATAATGCAACTATTTTTTGTTCTGGGGAGGATTTAAAGCAGCTAATGGAGGTTGTCGGAAAATAAAGTGATAAACATAAATGTTGGTTTGGTAGAAACTAATTATCTTTAAATTTATCTAAAACCAAATTTATGTTTGGAAATGTAAAAAATATACAAATGTTAAACTGGAGATAAATAATATATAAAATGATAAAGTGTTAGAAAATACATTTCTGGGTGTCATTTTGGACCACAAGTTTTGTTGGAAACCCCATATTAAACAATTGTGTAATAGGATGGCTAAAACCATAGGAATACTGAGGAAAACAAGACATGTTTTGAACATTAAATCTTTGCACAATCTTTATTTCACCCTGTTACTGCCATATTTAGACTGTTTTGTTGAATTTTGGAGTAATACATACAAAAGTTATCTACAAAACACATGAATAATGAAAAAAAAAGCAATAAGGATGGTACACAATGTTTGGTATCGTGAACACACCAATCAACTGTTTTTTATGTCACAGCTTATGAAATTTATGGATTTGGTACAATTTAAAACTGCACAGGTGATGTTCAAAGTTAAAAACAATATGCTCGCAATAATATTTAAAAGTTATTTAAGAATAGAGAGGGAAGGCACAAACTGAGAGGAAAATTCATCACTTTGTCGTCTCCCCTCCCCTGATGAATGTCTGCATCACTATGTGCTTATGTGCGGGGTGTTTTTTTCAATGTCAGGCTATCTTTCCTCGGCCAAGGAATGAGAGTCTTAGGATTTTTTTTTTTTTTTTGCCTCCAAATCCTATACACATCGTCATTTTCATTATTTTTTGTCTGTCCAAACATGTCTCACTTGTAAATGCGTCTTCGAGGCTCATTGTGATTAATCTGTATAAATAAAGGTTGAATGAATTAATGAAAATGTAATTTAAAGCAACCCTGTGTTCGCAGCACTCTTAAAAGCATGAGCATATCAGTTCATGGAGTGATTTTGTGGAATGGCTTAGATGAATTCATTAAGCAAAGTAAAACTATTGCACAATTCAAGAGAAAATACAAGGATTACAAAATGAATGTGTATAAAAACGAATGAGACAAAATTATGTTATTCCTACTGTTAATTTGTTAGTCCGTGTGTTTGCATATTAAACATTGATCTGTAGGTGATATAGAGTAAATTTGTATCTGCAGGTATATTTATTTATGTGTAGGTATATGTAGTTATGCATGCATGTCTGTGTGTATACAGTATGCTGCAAGTATCCATGCATTTATGGGTATTTATGTATTTATGTATATACTGAATTCAGAATTTGCATGTAAACTTAGGGACAGGACTGAATAAGCGTTTGCTTCTTCCTGCTCCCTTTTCGAACATTTTTGTATTTTTTTTTTTACAGAATATTTTGGTGGAAATATTTACCTTTTTATTCATGTTTTTTTTTTTCTTTGTTTGTTTTGTTGAGATTTTAACTATTCGAAATGAAATAAATAAATTAAAAAAACTGAAGAAGAAACCCAAGTGTAAAACAATAAAGTGAACTCATCGTGTTTTGAGCTGGTTTCCTAGAAAGAAGCAGAAAGAGCATTTTACTCTGAAAGGAAATGATTTAAAACACCAGCAAAATAATATATTTGACTGTTTGTACAGAAGCATATTAAAATGTTTTATTTGTACAAACGGCATCAGAATTTTGCTCAAAAAGATGTTTAGTGTGACGGGATATTCATCAGTAAGAACTGAAAATCTAAAATTTTGATCATAGCCCTCAAAGTTCATGGGTATAAACCATCTTTAACATCAAGGGAAGAAGAACTTGCAGCTTTTTATAAGAGGAATCAGTCAAAATCCCTCAAACAGGAAATAATCCTTTTAACTCACTTCACACCTTTTGTGTTTTTATACTGGAACTACAAGGTATTCAAACTGGGAGGAAAAAAGATTTCATGCTTTGGATTTTAATAAAGTGTACTGTTTTACCGTCTTTAATCAAAGCTGTCTTTTACTGTGCTGTTCACAGCAACAAGTTTTAGACAGAACAGCTGGTTGTGTGTCTGTGTTAAAACGGTGATAAAATTATCTGTTCTCCGTCATTTGTGTTCCCAAACGGATCACTCGAACGTTGCTAGAAGGCAGTTCTTGTCACAGTTTGCGCCGTCAACATCTGCTGTTGTGCAGCAGTGAGTGTGACACTAATTTAACTGAATTAGCTGAATTGTTTACTGCGACTTTGATGAAGGTAAATTTAGTTTGTGAAGGGTTTAATTTTGTTTTCAAATGATTAATCTGATTAAGATAAAAGATCCCTGACAAGAATGTCTACATCTTTTGGTTTAAACTCTATTTTTTGCCTCTAAAATTATTTTGGTTTCTGCTTCAGTTTCTCCCGCAGGATCAGGAGCAGCTGAGCTACTCATCAACACACACCAAAGCGCCCAGTGTGATTGTGTCGGGTTTAAAACCGGCAACCTGGTACGTGTTCAGTGTGCGCACCCGGACCGCAGGCGGCTACAGCTCCTACTCGCCAAAATATGAATACCAAACAACCGGAGACTGTAAGTACAGCTTTAGGTTTTATTGTTCCAAAACATTGTCATCTGTGTAAAAATGTGATTAGTTCACACAGTGTGCATTTGGCTTATGTTTTTAGGTGATGAATTTACACTGAAAATGTCTGTTTTCATTTAAATCTGAGCTTCAAAGTGTTCTACTTTCTTCCAAGTTAGTCATAGATTTGAAATGCTTGCTTCAAGCAGCGGTTTAGAGTCAAATGCAGTTCTTGTAGCCTCGAGGGCCACCCGGGGCCGCCTGCATCAAGGGCACATCAGCTCATAATAAGCCTTGATGATGGTGGAGGAGAAACTATCAACACAGTCTTCTATTGCAGGAGCCATGGGGATAAAAGCAGCACGGCAAATACTGTTGGGTTATAGCAAAGTGAAGCTATTCAATGTAGTATTTTATATCTGAATATTTATTTTAGCAGCAAGTAAGACACTTGAGTTTTGCTCAAGAGAGCTGAAGTAGGTGGATCGGCATCAGAGACCCAATCACAGTCAAGAATAAAACAATTTAAAAAGCAAACACACAAGTTAATCTTAGCAGTACTGCTGCTACACCCTTGAAGCACGAGTAAACACAGCCATAAACCTACTACGTTCTGTTTATCATTGAATTAACACACTGTGCAACCTTTTATTCAGACATTCAGTAAAAGTTTGAACCTTTTCTGCTGTTTTTGAAACTCTTTGCACTAAATAGGAAACAAAGAAAAAAAAAACTGTTCAGTCCAGTGAGTGGTTAATTTGAAATAATTTACATTTCTGTCACCTTGTCTCTTTAATGTTGTATTAAAGGGATTACGGTTAACCTGTAATTTCAATCAGGCCTTCAAACATTATATCAGATCTAAGTGGGAATGAGCAGAAAGTGACAGACAGGCAGGTTGATGAGCAGGATGTACAGAGACACACGGTTTTCATGATTAGATGACAAGGAAGTCTTTTATAGTTTAGTGGTATCTATTTAATAGAAAAATGTTCTCATCTAAAACAGTTTGTAGGAACAAACTTTAGACTAGAGAAATTGCATTTTCTGCAAAAATGCAATGTGAATGCTTATTGCCAAAAACCTTGCTGAAAAACTGCTGAAATTAGCTAAAAACCATTCTGAAATGTAGCTGAAATGGAAGAAGAAGCCTAGATTAGCAGAAGAAAGCAGAAAGTACATATATTTGCTGAATTTGGTGTAAATAAGCAGAATTTTACTAAAATGTTAGGACATTAGCTAAGAAACAGCTGAAATTAGCTAAATAATTTGCTGAAAAGTAGCTGAAAAGACAAAAAGAAGCTTAAACTACCAGAAGGAAGTGGAAAGAACTGAAATGAGCTCAATCTGGAATGAGCTGAAAAAGTTTAAATTAGAATCAGAAGAGCTAAATAGTAGCTGAAAGAGCATAAAAGGCTGCAACTAGCAGAAAAAAGTTGAAGGAAACATAAGCTGAAATTGGCATAAAGAAGTTAATTAGGCTGAAAGTAGCGAAATTAACATGAAAAACTTGAATTTATCTGCAAACAGCTGAAATTGGCTAAAAAATGCTAAAAAGTTAGATGAAAACGTAGAACAAGCTTAAAGTAGCAGAAGAAAGCAGAAAGAACAGATTTGCATAATGAAGCTGAAAGAAGCAGAAATGAGCACAAAGAAGTAGATATTATCTGAATAAAAGCTGAAATTAGCACAAAAAAACTGCTGAAAAGTAGCTTAAAAATCAACAAGACACTTAAATTACCATAAGGAAGTGGAGAGAGCATATTTTTGCTGAATCGGGCTGAAAAAACTACAAAATGAGTGTAAAAATGTGGAATTAGTCAAAAAAGGCTAAAAATTGGCATAAAAACTGCTAAATAGTAGCTGAAATAGCAGACTGAAACTTGCATAAATAAGCTGAAAGGGGCATAACAAGCTGAAATCAGCAGAAAGAAATTAGAAGAAGCACAAAGGTGTTGTAGTTATCAGAAAGAATCTGAAAGGATCAAAAAGCAGCTGAAATTAGTTGAAATTAGCTGAAAAAAGTTTACATTTGCACAAGGAAGCTGAAAGAAGCTGAACCAGAATAAAATGTGAAAGGAGCAATAAAAGGTTATAAACAGATCTAAAGATTTAAAAGGTGTAAAATGAACTCAATTCATTTTCTATGAGCAAAAAGTGGTAGAAAAGGCTAAATATTTCAAAAGGCTGAAGTTGCACCAATACCAGAAGTCATAGCCCCCTTCTGAATGAGCTGAATGTTTTGAAATATGATTTGACGAAAAAGCACAAAAATTGTACAACGAGAAAGATGCTGACAAACATACAGAAGAAAAATGGATCACAATAGTGTGAATGCTTCATTCACACAACTAGAGTTTTCTGATTCATGTGCAATGTAAATATTCAGTTTTGCTGAAGTTTCTCACAAGAAGACATTCCTCAAATACAAACGGTGGATCTCTGAGATAAACAAAAAAGAGACACTCATTGTTGCAATAGTGGCTTTTCTTCTTTTTTAAGAACGCTGTGTGTACGTGTGTGATCTCTAATCTAAAACCTAACTTGCCCTGGACCAGATTAGGATTCCAGCATGTCTCTGCAGTAACAGACCCAAATTAAATGCACACATGACATTAAAAATCCCAAACTGAACCTGAAACTACCTCAATAAGCCACTAACGCTGCTTTATAGTACAGCATTAATCTGATTATGATCAATTTTAATAACATACCTTGTTTTATTATTATAAACAGCTGGAACTCCTGCTGAGGTTGAAGTGCAGCCAGAGCACCAGTCATCTCTGCAGATTGAATTTGATTGATCTTAACCCCCGTATCAGTCGCAGCTGCAATTGGAAAATTCACAGAGGAAATCTGATAATGCTCCACGGCTGTTCGGTGCATTTTGAATCTGTGTTTTCTTTCCATGTTTTGTGTCGGCTGTCGCTTTATTGCGTGCTCATAAAATACAAAAGGTGCAGCTGCCCTTTCATGTCGGGTCAGGTCTTATTATTGAGAGGTGATTTGGCTTCACAGCGGCCCTCTCCCTTCCAAAGCTGCCGAGCTCGGCTTTATCTGCAGATCAGAGGCTGCTTGGCCAGGTCTTTGTACTGCCTGGACTTTTATCTGAAAGAGAAGCCAGATTTGGCCCCCGCCGCTCGCTCCGTCTCTGTCAGTCTGTCCGTCCGCCCGTCAGTCACTGTCACCACACTCGTTTTCTCCAACCCCCTGCGTATCTGTCACTTCTGTCCCGCTCTTTTCCCTCTTTTGTCTTTGTCTCGCGCCTGTCATCTGTTTCCTCGTCCGACGCCTCTCTGCTTTTTGTGTGAGTGTGTTTTTCTTCACACACTCACATGCAGACCTTATTTCAGCAGTGTCAATCCAACACATCTGTTTAGATGTGAAAAGTGTGTTAAACTGAAAACCGGCATGTGTCTTCTGAAGACTGTCACTTTCACTCTCGCTGCCCCCTGAGTGGTGTGTAATTATTTTTATTAGGTAAAAGACACACACATTCTCAACATCCCACTTACACTCTCACACACACACAAGCCTTATTCAGTGGGCTCGCCACCACGCACCATGATCTCTAATTCATATTCATTAAGCATGAAATATAATAGAAATAAGTTTAGTAATAGCAATCATCTTTCAATTATCTGGGATTCGTTAGCCTTGTGACAAGACACAGAAAAGGGAAAATCATGAATATCAAATGGGCTCAGTTTCACCAAATGATCATGGACTAAATCACAATTTCATGAATGAATAAAATTAATTAAACTGCAGCAGGCTTATGAATCATTCCAGCACAGAAGCTGACAGGTTGGTTTTTTTTTTTTGCACTACAAAGAGCTGATCAAACATATCTCAATAATATCTGCCCATCAGAATAACTTTGACAGTTTATTGATCAGTTTATGGATGGGGTGGATTATTCCAGATGATGTGAAATTAAAAAATAATATCCTTTTTTTTCTCCTGTCATTCTGCAACCCCTCTCCTTCAGTGTTGCATCATCCATACTGATTTTATGTTCCCAACATTCTCTCCATTCTGTTTTTTTTTTTTTTCTCCACTCAATTTTCCCTCCCTATTATTCTTAATCTTCTCTATGTTAACACAATTTATTTGTTTGCTCAGCTTCAGACATCGCTTCTGACCAAGGCCATGTGTTGGTCATCATCACAGCAGCGGTCGGTGGCTTTACTCTTCTCGTCATCCTCACCCTCTTCATGCTCATCACTGGAAGGTAGGATGAAACATTTTACCTAGATTTCTGCTCAGTAAACCTTCCACTGTGTGATCTTCTTTAACTTTGAGTTGTCCAGTAGGTTTTTCTGTATGTTTCAGCTTTACTTTGCTTTTATAAAATTAAAAAACAAATTGTATAAAGCCTATAATTAAAAAGCATTAAAGTTACCACGGCAGCTGCACACCTTGGTTGAAAGTAATACATAATACAGTACAACATACCTAGTTCATACTGGTTACCCAACGGTACTTCCAGGTACCTGTCATTTACCAAGTACTTGTCATATACTCACCTGCTATGTATCAGGTACCTACATGGACCGTGCTGGGTTATTCAGGGATTTATTTTGTATCTGTACGCACTGATATGTACTAGTTATGTACTTTGTAATTCAATTCAGTTCAGTTTATACAAACTTCCAAGTCACAACAGAAGTCATCTCAGGATACTGAACAGAAACATTCATATACATAAAAAGTAAATTAATAACATTATTTATCTGAGGAGCAGACTGCTTTGAATTTAACTCCATCGCAGAACTCTTATCTTGAGCAAGCATGAAGGCGACAGTGGAAAGGAAAAACTCCCTCATGAGGAAAAAGTTGGTTCCAAAAGAGTTGAGCCTGACAACTGAAAGATCTTCCTCCCATTTTACTTTTGGAAACTCTAGGAACTGCAAGTAAGCCTGCAGCCTGAGAGTGGCATACTCTGTATTTACAAAATATGGAACAATAAGATCTGTAAGATGGAGCTAGGTTGTTGAGAGCTTTGTAGGTCAGAAGTAAGATTTTGAATTCAATTCTGGATTTTACAAGGAGCCAGTGGAGAGAAGTTAAAACTGGAGAGATATGATCTCTCCTACTAACTCCAGTTAAGACTCTGGCAGCAGCATTTTGGATCAACTGAAGATGTTTTAAAGAAGTATTTGGACACCCAGATAACAAACCATTCCAATAGTCCAGTCTAGATGTGACAAATGCATGAACCAGTTTTTCTGCATCATTTTTAGATAAGATGTTTCTAATTTTAGTGATGTTACGCAGGTGGAAAAAGGCAGTTCTAGTAACATTTTTAATATGGGCGTTAAAAGACATGTCCTGATCGAAAATAACACTAAAATGTTTAACATTAGTGCTGGAGGCCAGATTAATGCCATCCAAGGAGGGCGAAAGACTGAAAAATTCATTCCTACGATGCTCAGGTCCAAAACCTAAAACCTCAGTCTTGTCTGAGTTCAAAAACAGAAAATTTAGGGTCATCAGGTTTTTATGTCTTCAAGACATGCTTGTAGTCTAAGTAACTGATTGGCTTATTAGGTTTCATGGACCAGTATAACTGTGTATCATCAGCATAACAATGAAAATTTATCCCATGCTGTTTAATAACTTTACCTAATAGAAACATATACAAGGTAAAGAGTATTGGCCCAAGCACTGAACCCAGAGGAACTCCATGACTCACTTTGGTGCATGAAAAACATTAATTATTTACATTTACAAATTGGAATCTACCAGATAAATATGATTTAAACCAATCTAGAGCCGTTCCTGTAATTCCAATGTCATATTCAAGTGTCTGTGGTAGACTATTGTGATCAACTGTATCAAATGCAGCACTGAGGTCTAACAGGACCAAAGTACAAAATCTACAGAAACTAAAATCAGTGTAAGTACAGGGTAACAAATCACTTCATAATACAGTCTAGGCACTATATGGTATTTATCAGGTTATATGTATTGCTACAGGTAATATTAAACAAATTCTTTAACTTTAGTTAGCAGAAGCAGCTTGTCATCATGCATCAATTTTGATGTTTCTACCGTGTTTGTGTAGGAATAAGAACAGTTTTAAATAGTTTGTTTAAAAAAACTAAATAATTTATGTTGATGCACTCCAGTCTGAACATTTTATGCTAAGATCCTAAAACACAAATTGTGTAAAAGTCATGAAATATGTCAAAATTCAGATATATAAAACTTTCCCAACTTTTAAACTTTGAACGACATTTCGACTGTGACGTATGCAAAGCAGGATTAAATTTTTACACTCAATTTGACAAAACCCATTCTGATCCATCAATCAGTTCTTATAAATTGGCTTCCTTATCAAGAATATTGGGAATAGGGGAAAAATTAATTGGTGGCACAAAGTTACAATTGGGGTTTTTTTTTGTTGTTTTTAACGTGCAGTTGTGACACTGATGAGTTTAAGTAATCACCATAATTTATTCTTTAAAATGAAATATTGAATATTTTCTGCAGGGCAGTGAGCATATTCTGTTATGCTCTGTTTCTGTAACTACCGGTAATGAGGTAAACTCAACAGAATAAGTAAATCTCAACAAAGTGTAGGATGGTGTAAGGTTTGTACACATTTTTATAATATGTGTAGGAAGGTGCAGCACTGTTTCTGTGCAGAGGCTCTAAATAATTCTCATCCTCAATCCTGCAGCCAAAACTGAACTGTCACATCAAACAGACTAAATACTGTTGCTGTTACGATTTATTGCATCAAATTCACAGCTTTTCATCCATCTAACCTAAAGAAAACACAATATATGTTTTATAGAAGAACACATAAAGGCTTATAAACACTTAAAGAAAAAAAAAACTAAAATCTTCCCCCAGTTTCACAACCACAGCACTTATTAATGATTGCACACTCACCCAGACTGTTTTTGTACATCAAAATGTGCGATGCAGTGCAGCTCTGCAAGAAAATCAACGTTTCACACGTTTAATTTGGGAGCTGTGAACATGAGGTGATTTGGCGACTAAATAATGTGCCACTTGGCTGTGAACGTACAGAACAAAATGAACTGGAACACCAGCAGCAAAAATCCTCACAGTCTGACGTGTTGTAAGCATATAATTTTTATCTACTTTGGTGGTTTAGCTAGAAATTATTCCTTAAAATCATTAAATGTTGAGGAAAATTCACCTTTTAATGTAATTCTGTTATGGCAGTAATACAAATTTAATGCTGCAACAATAAATCATACAACAGCTAATAGTGTGCTGAGCTAATGTGAAGCTCATTAAGCTTATTTTTTAATCAAAATCAAACTAAAATCATACAAAAATCATCAGAGTCAGAGATTCTTTATTGTCATTCGCACCTCATGTGGTACATGTGGTGGAGCGAAATTATGTACACAGGGTCCCAGTTACATCCAACAATAAAATGTAAAAGAAAAACAATGATAACATCCATGGTATTAACTAAGAAAAACATCAACTAAATATACACTAAGCACTAATAGCATAAAAACATCACGTCGAACATCAGCACAAACCTGAACACGAGTCCGTGTAAGCAGATGAACACGCATGAACACACCAACATTGAAACAGATCAGCAGCAACATGATGTGATTTTTTTTTCACAGTGATTATTCTGGTTAGAGATTCATGAGTCTTAACAGATTCAGGGTAGAAGCTGTTCCTCATTCTAGTGGTTCTACACTTAATGCTCCTTAAACTCCTGCCTTAGGGGAAGGGGGCAAAAAGTGTGTGTGCTGGGTGAGTGAGGTCCTTCATGATGCAGGTGGCTCTCTTCCTGCATCTAGAGGTGTAGATGTCTGTGATGGTGGGGAGGCTGACTCCAACGGTCTTCTGTGCAGCCTTCACCACTCTCTGCAGAGCTTTCCCCTCTCTAGCTGTGCAGCCTCCGTACTACACATTGATGCTGGAGCAGAGTATATTTCTATAAGTAGGATTGTGAATACAGTTGTTAGTTACATGAAGCCCGTTTTGACACTAACATGTCATCTCTTTGAAAAGGTATTGTGGCTAGTTGTCAAACATTATTTCTGAGGAAGTTTCCTGAACACCTTCAACATTAACCGGATTCTCAATTTCCTTGCACGAGTCATAGAGGTTCAAAGTCCTCGAGTTTTAAACGCATTGAAAAAAAATTCTTCTAAGTCACAGTCAATGTGGGATTCTCCAACACACCTGGATTTGGTGATGTGCATCTTGAACCTGTTTCCAGAGCTCTGCATTTTAACATGACGGATAAATGTCCAGGTCTAAAATGTATGCTGATAAATAAATAATGAAAAAACTGGTCCAAACCTGCTTTTATTAACACTAGAAGTCCCAGGAATTTCGACCTCCCCCCAGAAGTCCTGAAAAAGGGTCAAAAGACCCTTAGCACTAGAGTGACTAGATTTTCAAGATCCTGAGGACAAACCCCCTCCTTCTCCTCAACAATTTGCCGGCCATTAACTGCCATTTGTTTTAAATATGCACACAAGTAACTCAGACACACCCACCTCACCAGACTGCATTCCAATGTCCAATCCAGGGAGCGGGGGATTTAGAAGCCAGGTTCACTTGCGCAAAAAAGCGCAGCCTTAGTCAAAGTAGTGCTCCAAACCGGACAACTCTGATGGCTGCAATTAGCATCCTTTCATTTGTAAATGTGGCCATTGCCTTAGGAATCAGCAGGGGAGAGATAAGCTGAACTCACACAAACGTCCGTCTAATACTCCAAACTGATGCATTATCAACTGGTTATATTTTGAACTTATATCTCTTGGTGGCACGTTGGTGCACATTTTGAACAAACTGAAGTCGATTTACCGTTTATTTTTCAATTGGTTTGGCTCATTCCTTGAAACCGAGATGACATTCTCAAAACACCATGTGAAACACAACTCAAGAGACTTTGCATTTTGAGGTTACTGACAATTTGTATGAAACACATATTTTGTTTTGAAGCATACATGAAGTGTTTTGGGAGAGATACATTATCCAGGTCATTTTGCCAAATGAACAAAACAAAACAAAAGTTTGCAAAACATACAATCTGTTTCAAGATATATGCAAAAAAGTTTTTCTAAAATGTTTTAGTAATGTTTTTCTTTCAGAAAAAAGAGAAGTGGGTTCAAAATGACAGTTTAGAAAAAAATAACCAAATTAACTGTGAGAAGAAGGCACGCAAGGAGAAACTGCTTCAGCAACAACCTTCCACACCCAGCCCTGGCAAAAGGG